GATTTCTGACCTGAGGGGATCCAACATTCTGAGGATAACTTCAAATTAATACCAAATTACATATGTACCAAAAAAACTCAATAGTACTTAAATGTCTGCTTAGTTAAAATTAAAGCTTCTAGTCCATTGGTTCAATCATAATGAATTCACTGAAAACTAGGATATATGAAACAGTAACAATGGTAAATAAATACCTAGTGTAGACAAACTCAGATGGTGAGAAGAAACAAGACAGCTTGCTATGGTAGCCTACACCATACAGGGCAGATTGGGAAAACACTGGTTTTAGAGATCTCAGTACAAAGTACATAACATTTCAATATTACCCATTTCATAAAGTCCTAATTAACGGGCTGGAAGGTAGCTCAGTGGTAGAGTTCTTGCCTTGCATTCATGAAGCCCTGGGTTCGATTCCTCAGCACCACATAAGCAGAAAAAGCCAGAAGTGGCACTGTGTCTCAAGTGCTAGAGCACTAACCTTGAGCTGAAGAGCTGAGGGACAGCACCCAGGCCCAGAGTTCAGGCCCCATGACCGACCCAAAAAAAAATCCTAATTAACTTTTAAATAGATTATCTGCTTTATTATTAAGCCACCAAAAAGCCATTTACCACAAACTTAAAAATACACTTTTCACACATACACAAAATGCTTTGAAATAACTCCAATTCTTTTTCTATAGGACATTTCACACTGCCCCACTGTTAACAGAATACATTCTGGAATGGCATCATCTAAATTCAAATTCTAGAACCACTACAGTAACTGAGATCTAGGAGAAAATTTTATCCTCTGTGTGGCATCCTGAAGACTAGATGGCATAATACATAAAACATACAAATTAATACACATCTGATAATGAAAATTCATTTATAATTATGACAAGAGAAAGATGAATTTTAAAATCCAGAGCTACAACTGTGCTTTGCAGGACACCAGTGACTTATGCCTATAATTTAACTACCTAAGAGGCTAAGAATAGGAAAAATGTGGTTCAAGTTCAGCCCAGAAAGAATAGTTTGCAAGACCGTTTCTCACCCCACAGCTGGATGAAATGGCATGGTGCCTATCATCCCAAGCTATGTGGAAGGCTGAGATCAGAGGGATCAAGTTTCAGGCTAACCCAGGCAGAAAAGTCTGTGAGACTCCCATCTCCATGGAATGAAACTGGACACAGTAGTGAATGCCTGTCATTATAGCAACTGCAGGAAGCTGAAAAATAGGTAGCCACAGTCCAGGCATGTGCCTAGACAGAAAGTGAAACATTATCTTAAAATTAACCACAAAAAACAGACTAGTGGCCCACAAATGTAATCTTAGCTACTTTGGATGCTAAGATTGTTGAGAATGAGGTTGAAGGCCAGCCCAGTCAGAAATTCATAGACCTCTTTTCTCAGTGAAGAAGTAGACATAATGGTGCACATCTGTTATCCTAACTGCCAGGACATGTAACAGGTGGACTGCACCCAGGTGTATGCCAAAAGAAGGAAGCAAAAATAAAAAGCAAAAGCTAGGACTGAAAAACTGGGTGTATTAATAGCAGGAAGCACACCTACTGTCTCTAGCACAATCACAAACCTGAGTTTGAGTCCCAGTAATGTAAAAAACCATTTTTTAATGTGACAGATGCCAGTGCCTACTAAGATGGCTGAGATCTGAGGGTTGTAATTTCAAGAATTTGAAGAAATTTGTAATTTGAAGAAAAGTCTAATCAATCACCAAAACCTAGGCTGGAGACATGGCTCAAGTGGTACTTGAGTGGCCCTGATTCAAACCTCAGAACTGGCATAATACACAAATTAATTTAATTAAATATACACAGTATTTTTCGCAGGACTTGCCAAGTTCTATTTAAATTATGTGAGAAACGCAAAGCCATTTAAACAAACAGTATTTTTTTTAAAGTATCTTCACCTCAGGTACAAATAATGTCAACACAATCATTCTTTTATTTTTTCAGTTTAGAAAGAAAAAGTAGACATAAAATAGACCTCATGATTTATAAAGTAAAAAATAATAGAAGATAGGAGACAAAGTCCTAAGATTGAGCCCTACAGAATTCCTAGAGGCGAGTTGCAGAATATCCTTACAGCTACTCAAACCACCAGGATGGCCTTTTTTTTTTTTTTTTGCTATGGCTAAATGAGAAAAGGTAAAAACTGATCACAAGATGGGCAATAGTATTTAGGAAACCTTGAAGAAGAGTTGATTTAATTTTATCATTACTTTTAGGAAACAAACAAGTGTTTATATTTATATAAGAGCCCTTTAAGACAGTGTGGAGACTGGGGAGAAATTCTTAACCACTTCTCAAAAAAATCAATCAATCTCCTTGATATATTCCTCATTCTGCAGAATTGTGTTCCATGGCAATTATCCATTACACAGTAACAGGTAATTCAGGATAAGTCATAGTGGCAACTTTCCTAATTTTGGCAGTATGGGTAATGAGTAGAAATCAGACTTACACAGTCTGTACAAAACAACAACAAAAACCTGAATCTAATAAACATTGCTAATAAGAAGGATATCTTCCATCTATGCATTACTTCCACTCCACAGATATTTACTGCAGCATCTTCACTAAATAAATCCCTAGTTGAGGGTCTCTTTTGGTAAGGCAACTGAATAAAGTAAAAATTTAGGGAAAAAAAAGCCAATATGCACTGTCTTTCCCTTCTCTAGACCCAAGTACTCTTTTCCCAAACATCAAGGGATAATGGGTATAGATGACAATAAAAACTGAATGCACCAAGAAGCTAATGGCTCTCAAACTGTAATCCTAGCAACTCAGGAGTCTGAGATATGAGGATTGTAGTTCAAAGGAGATGTTTATCTCTAATTAGCCACCAAAAACAAAAAGAAATAAAAAAACAGAAACAAAAAAAATTATAAAACAGGAAATGGAGGTGTGCCTTACATGGTAAAATGCTAGCCTAAAGTAAAAAAGCACAGGTACAATGCCCAGGTCCTGAATTCAAGCCCCAGGACTACAACTGAAAACAAAACAAACAAACAAACAAAAAAGACTGAATGCAGGCCAGCTGCTGTTGGTTTACAACTATCATCCTAGTTACTGAGATCTGAGTATCACAGTTCAAAGCTAGCTTGGGCAGCAAAGTCCATGAAACTTTTATCTCTGCTTAACCACCAAAAAGCCAGAACTGGAGAAGAGTGCTGGCCTTGAGCAAAAAAAGTTCAGAGACAACACCCAGACCCTAAGTTCAAACCCCAGGACTGGCACCCAAAGCAAAACCAACTGAATGTATTTACTGTGTAATGTCATGTTTTGATACATGTACACATTGTTTAATGATCACAAACAAATTTACCTATTGATTATGTCACCTTTTTGTGTGTGGTGAAAACACGTAAGATCTCCTTTTTGAAAATTTCACGTATTGTTAACTAACATCTCCATGTTATAAATTAGATCCTTAGTAATTAAGAATCTATAAACAACTTATGCTATCTTAAGATTTTTCACTCTACCCAAGAATAATTAGAAATAATAAATACAGGGCTGGAAGTGTGGTTCAAATGGTAGAGCACCTGCCTAGAAAACAGGTTGGGTTAAATCCCCAGTACTGCCCCTCAACAAAGGAAATAACCACAACTATTATTATTGTAGTAGTAAGTTCAATGTTTTATAGTAAGTAGACTAGATACAACAATTTCTACTTATGACATATCACGAACCTTAAAAAAGACTGATATGCCAAAAGCAATGTATGCCTGACACTCATGTATGGCTTACTTTATACAGCTTATCATTAAATAAATACACTCTTGGGCATTTAGCTGAAAAACTACATGTCAGGATACAACTAAAGCAATAGCACACCTAGGTTCATCACAGCACAGTCCACAATTGCCAAGTTATAGAATCAGCACAGATACCCCACAATGGATGAATGAATCAAAAAATGTGATATGATATACATATATACATACATACAAAGTGGAATTTTATGCAGTCATCAGGAAGAATGAAATTATGAATCTGGAAAATATTGTAATGAGAAGCCAGACCCAGAAAGACAAAGGAGTTTTCTCTCCTATGTAGATCATAGATGCAGCCTCCCATATAATCACACATAGAATCATATTCTTAAATACAAAATTTAGTTGACTAAAGTATATAGAGGAATACAATTAACAATTTAAGAAAATGAATACTAAAAGCTGAAACCAGATTATAAGGGGGAAAGGTAGCAAGAGAAGATTAATTAAAAATGGAAATAGGACAAATATGGCAAAAAATACTCAATGTAACAATACATGAGAAAGGAAGTGGGAAATGTGAAATAAATCTAGGAAGACGGAACAGATAGAGAAAAATGATAGAAGGGTGACTCTGACAGTGCACTAGACACCTTGATGGACACATTAAATTGTAACCTCTTTGGTACATCCTTTTGAAGTCAGGAGAAACAAATAAATGTAAGAAAAAGAAAAGAAAAACATCATTATGAAACTTAAAAAATAAAATGAGTTAAATGTGAAGAATAGAAAAATTAAAATGGATTGAGTCCAAAATGTTATTCATCCATTATTTTATTTTATTTCATTTTTTTTTTGGGGGGGGGGTCCGGTCGTGGGGCTGAACTCTGGGCCTGGGCACTGTCCATCAGCTCTTCAGCTCAAGGCTAGCGCACTACCACTTGAGTCACTTCCAGCTTTTTTCTTTTTGCTTATGTGGTGCTGAGGGATTGAACCCAGGGCCTCATGCATGCAAGGCAAGCGTTCTACCACTGAGCCAACTTCCCAGCCCTCATCCATTATTTTATTAAGAGCAGAAAATCAGGCCTCCTTCTTCAGGAGGCTGAGGAAAAAGGATCATGAGTTTTAGGCTACCTTGGACTGCACAGTCAAAAATAAGGAGAAAAAATAAAAATAAAAAATAAGGAGAAAAAAAAAGAAATATAAAAAAGGCCACAACAGCCCAGGCTGAAAGCTAGCCAATTGGATAGAATGTATGGGACCCTCTCAGAAGCCTCACCTGTCGAATGATACTCTTCACACAACGAACTGGGAGGCCTTGGTAGTTAGACTTGATGATCCACTTGAGGAGATGGTGGCCAAGCACTTCAAAGACCATGCATACATCTAGGAAGTAGTTAAGGATCATTTGAGGATATATTTTCTGGAGTAAGGCATTTACGGAAAGCAGCATCACTGTGTCTCTTGCAAAACATTTCCTTCTTTATAAATTACATAATAATACTATTAATAAATATCAAAGCAGTCAGTAGCTGTTTCTCACCTAAATTTTTAAACACTATTTTACTGAACACTTATTATGTATCATGCATTATTTAATGTATACTGCAAACTATTTTAGGATACAGTCACTAAGCTGAAAATGACAGCCTATAAAATGGGAGAAGATCTGCTCAAGCTATTCTGCTAACAAGGGTCTCTTGCAAAATATTTCCTTCTTTATAAATTACATAATAATACTATTAATAAATATCAAAGCAGTAAGTTGCTGTTTCTCACCTAAATTTTTTTTTTTTTGATCCGGTTGTGGGCCTGAACTCTGGGCCTGGGCGCTGTCCCTCAGCTCTTCAGCTCAAAGCTAGCGCTCTACCACTTGAGCCACAGTGCCACTTGTGGCTTTTTTCTTTTTGCTTATGTGGTGCTGAGGAATTGAACCCAGGGCCTCAGGCATGCAAGGCAAGCGTTCTACCACTGAGCCACTTTCCTAGCCCCTCTCACCTAAATTTTTAAACACTATTTTACTAAGCACTTATTATGTATCAAGCATTATTTAATGTATATTACAAACTATTTTAGGATACAGTCACTAAGCTGAAAAAGACAGCCTATAGAATGGGAGAAGATCTGCTCCAGCTATACCTCTAACAAGGGTCTAATAACCAGAAATATACTGGCAGCTAAAAATCTGAACTCCAAAGATTCAATAACCAAAGCCATAAATGCACAAAGGAGCTACAGACAATTCTCAGAAGAAGTAAAAGTGGCCAATGAAGAAATGTTAACATCCCCTGAACATAAAGGAAATTCAAATCAAAACAGCATTGAAATTGCGTGTCAATCCAGTCAGAAAGGCCATTATTAAGAACACCAACAAGTGATGGTGAAAATATGGAGAAAAAGGAATCAATACACTTTTGGTGGGAATATAAATTAGTTCAATCACTATGGAGGTAGTATGGAGATTACAACACAAAAGAAAACAACCACTCTATGATTCAGGAATAACAGTTTTTGGGCATTTACAAGAAGGAATTTAAGTCAGGCTACAATAAAACGCCTATACATCCATGTTAATTGCAGGACTATTCAGGATATCCAAGTTATGGAAACAGCCCAGATGTTCTACAACTGAGAAATAAATCAAGTGGGCGTGCATGCGTGCATGCATGCATGTGTTCACACATGTATGTGTACACACACACTCAATGGAATTGTATTCATTCTCTAGGAGGAACAATGCTCACAAAGATAAAGGGTGTGTGTTTTCTTTCGCATGTAGTTGTTAGACCTAAATTATAATTTACTATATGTATTTTATATATTGTTATATTATACATACTTATATGTAATATACATAACATATATTTCTATATAGCAATATACAAATAGTATACATACTATAATTGTCTATATTATTTTATACTTATTATAAGTTAATTATAATTGTAAATTATAAACATGAATGTAAATGCTTACAAAACCATAGGAATATATGATACACACACTCAAACTGACTGAAGAATGATACATACAGGAATGAGATTTCATGGTGTAACTAACCACTTCAAACATTAACAAAATATCAGAAACTTGAAATATATCTTGAGTTGGGGGGAGGGATGTCAGAAGAGGAGGGTAGAAGAATTGGAAGAGTCATAACACTCAATGTACATACTTGAAAATGGAACTAGGAAACTTGATGAGATAGGTGGGGTAAGGTAAATGAGGGGGAGAACAATGTGACTCTGGTAAATGCATTGTATACATACATAATTGGTGAACTGAACCCTCCCCTTGTACAACAATTTGAAGATAACAATAAAAAAGATATGATCTGAGGAGCTCTGTTCAAAATCAACCTGGGCAGGAAAGTCCTGTGAGATTCTTATCTCCAATTGGTGCTGTGGCTCAAGTGGTAGAGCATTATCCTTCAGCACAACAGCTCAGGAACAGTCCCTAGGATATGCACACATGCACACACACCAACATCACTTCTCATAAAAATATATGGTGAGGGGCTGGGAAGATGGCTCAGTGGTAGAGCGCGTGCCTTGCATGCCTGAGGCCCTGGGTTCGATTCCTCAGCACCACATAAGCAAAAAGAAAA